CCCTTCCCCTTCACCTCTGCTTCCCTCTTTTCCAGTTCCTTCTCTTTCTCCTTCTGCTTTTAATTCTCGGCCTTTGTTCATATTTTGCCTCCTTGACTCAATGCCTCTCCCATTTTCTCAGCCTATTCAAAACAGACCCACACTTTAGGGTCCTCACCTTCCCTAATCCATCCAAAGGATTTCCTGAGTATTCAGGCCCACCTTGGTGTCTGTCTGACTCACCATCATCCTTGGTTATGGGCAGCCCATCCTGATCACTCTTTAATTTCTTGTGTTTATGCCCTGGCTCCCCTGTGACTATTAGTGCCTGGGGCCATGCCTCTTTCTGCAGCAGGCTACATCGATAATCCCTGGCACGTTCAGCACAGGGCTGTCGTGACACCAGTCCCGGCGGGTTCACTGATTGACACATAGCTATTTTGCACAGCTTTTGAAAGCTGTGTCTACTTGATATCAACAGAACATGCAGAAGAGCAGGAATGCTGTCATCATTCTTGAACATTTTTGATATCTACATGACGGATGTGGTGGGTTTGTTTTCATTGGTTGATTAAAGGGCAATGTGGTCATAACCTAGATGTAATGTTGGGTTCCAAAAGAGCTGTTCTTAAAACAGATACTTCTGGGCCCCAGAAACATGATGATCTATAGAAATCTTTTTGCAGGTGGACACAGTGGAGCCAAAGGAGAGTGAGGATTCAAAGTGTGGGTCAGAGACCAAAGTGACAGCGCCTTCTCCATCCCCTAAATTCATTTTTCCATTTTGGATTAGGAATTATAGATCAATCTTCACTTTTCGATTTTTAATACTTCTTGAGCCTTACATGCTTTGCCACAAATATGCACTAGATATTGATTTTGGCGAGGGTTGGGGGGAAAGATACAAAGAAGAAAACCTGGTGAATGGAATATTTCTATAAATCTTTCCACTTCAGAAATCTGCTTTTGTATCTCTATGGACTTTAGCTAATGGGAGGGAGGGTGAAAACCAGTCATCCCAGCATGATGGAAACAGATGGAAAGTAGAAGCAAGACTAGGCTACGTGCTAGGAAATATGGGTTCTGGTTCTAGTTCAGCCATGAATGGCTGTGATACCTTGTTTACAACCTTCTGAGCTTCAGCTTCCTCATCTGAAAAACAAGAGATGGGCAAGAAAATAATTGAGTTTCATTCTGGAGACATCCCTGTCTTTATGCTTCTAGAATTCTCAGTATTTTTTTTATATATATATAGATTCTTTAGCTACATTCTCACTGAATCCTCACAATAAACCTATAAGGTAGGTCTGGCAAGGGTTGTGCTAGTCCCCATTACACAGATGGGTGTGTTGAGGCTGAGAAATGTTAGGCAGTTGCCCCAGGGTTTCATTAAAAATGAAACTCCTCCTCCTCACCCACAAAAGTTTCTTCTTAGCAGGAGGCTCGTACCTGTGTTTGGATTTTGGTGTACTGACAAATGCAGGCATCTGTCAGGTTTCTCTGATGTGTGAATGTGAAGGATGCAATTATTAGGCGGACTCATAGATTTCCCTTAGTTTGCATTGCTGGTCTGTTCTTTGTTGATTGCCTTTGTCCGAGGGATGTTCCATGATATAGCATAATTCACACTAACTGCATTAACTAGGCAACATAAATAGCAATTGGAGGGCAAGAGGTGGTGAGCAGGGAGAGAGATAGATAAGTGAAGAGAGGGAGAGCTAAGAGCCAAACAGCCAGGCCCCATTCTGTGTACTCTACAAATATTAACTCATCTGGTTCTCACATGAATCCTACCATGAAGGTTGTTATCATCAGGCCCATTTTACAGATGTTGAAACCAAGGCCTAGAGGAGTTAAATAACTTGCCTGAGTACTAAGGGTCAGAGCCAGAATGTGAAACCAGGCAATCTGATTATGGAGTTTGAACCCTAACCACTTTCCTTCAAGGTTATTTTGGGTAATCATAAGCTTTTGTGAGTTGCTCTGGTACAAAGTAAGATTTTCTAAAAAAAGAATGCCCACCCAAAACTAGCAAGGTTGCACAGAGGAATTTTGTTTGTTTGTTTTTGTTTTGTTTTGTTTATTGAGATGGAGTCTCACTCTGTCACCAGGCTGGGGTGCAGTGGTGCGATCTTGGCTCACTGGAACCTCCGCCTCCCAGATTCAAGCACTCCTCCTGCTTCAGCCTCCCAAGTAGCTGGGACTACAGGTGTACACCACCATGCCCAGCTAATTTTTTGTATTTTTAGTATAGATGAGGTTTCACCATGTTGGCCAGGTTGGTCTTGATCTCTTGACCTAGTGATCCGCCCACCTCGGCCTCCCAAAGTGCTGGGATTACAGGTGTGAGCCACCACGCCTGGCCTACCAGAGGAATTGGCATATCATATATGTACTGCTGATAGTACTGACAACGAGTTTTATCTTTTTATAAAGCAATTTGTGGCAAGAGCCGTAAAGTTTTCCATATTTGTCAATTTATGAATGTCAATCCTATAAGTTTATTCTATGTTTATAGTTCAAACAAAATGAGACACCATATGCATAAAGTTTATTGTATGATCTGCAATAATTGAACACGGGGAGGAAATTAAGTGCCCTAGAATAAGTTATGGTTAAGTAATTTCATGATATATTCACTTGTTGGAATATATAAAAACATTTGAAATAATTACAATGGCTATGTAAAAGGACAGGAAAATGTTTCTGATAAAATGTTAAGTTTAAAAAGCAGGATGAAAAATATGTAGATTATGATGACAACTCTGATACTGGCCAAGCCTGAAATAGAACAGGAAAAAATTCGCGTAGTTAGGTGTTTGTTAAAGTCCTTTTTTTTTTTTTTTTTTTCAGATTTCAATTAGTGGTGTGTTGTGCTTATTTATCAGATAATAAAAAAAGGAAAGAGCTGATGGCAGAAGTGGGTTGAAAAAAATTGTCTTGGGTGAGACTTGGGCTGTTGTTGGGAGACTTGCCTTCATCCCCAGGTTTTCTGGGGGCAGCCGGAGTTTAGGGTGGGAAAGAGGGCTCAGGGCTGAGGAATCCACCTGCTTGTGGGAGAGAGAATGGTGCACCCTGGATCTGCCCATGACACTGGGAATATGGTAGCATGGGCAAAGCCAGGCTGTGGCTCTCCCTTTGCTGTCTTGTCCATTGCCTCACTCCACCTCTCCCATTCTTTGTTCTTCAAGTCTCAAAAGCTTTAGAAGTTGCTTTCAAGGACTCAACCCAACTCCTCCCCCTGGCACCCACTGGGCTGGGTGCCCCTTCAAGGTGCCCCCTTTGCCCGGCTTCCAGTGCTGCCCATTTCTGCATGGAACAGGCTCTAGGGTGATTACCTGTTTGCATTTCTGAGGCCCTCTCTGGGCTACAAGAGTTGGGATCTTAGGCAGATCTGGATCATCTCCCTATGTCCTTACTCAACGCTGCATGGATTAAATGAATGACCCTCCTTTTCCAAGGTGAGGGCAGGTTGGGGTTGGATTAGATTCTTTCCGGCTCCAAATACTGTGATTTTTACCATCTCCTATTTATCAGACTCTTTAATAAAGAAACTACTGGGTTTTGAAGATAAGTCCCGATGTAGGGAATGTCCTCTTTCTGCCAGTGGGTGGGCCCGGAAGCAGTCTCTGGCCTTCGTGTGTGGACTGTGAGCCTGATCAGAGGCGCAGGGTTGCCTTGGGAGTTTTCACAAAAGGTCAGCTGAGCGTGCGAGAACACCACCTCAGCCATCCTCCTCCTGGCAACAAGGCTTGCGGTGAAGGCTCGTTGCTTGGATTGTGCTTGTCCCCAGCTGTACTGTCACAGGGCACATGTGATACGGTGGCTGTGCCTCCACGTGTGAATCTGCAGGAGCCGCAGAGCCTGATGTTATGTATCTGCCTGCCGGCTGTGGAAGTGGGCGTGTCTGTGCACATGTCTGGCTGTACCTGTCTCAGATCAGGGCAAAAGGTAGATGAGTGGCCCTGGGTTTTCTGGGCAGTGTGTCTCTGTGTAGCCTGTTCGCCAACACCTCAGTGAATGAGCGGATTTCAATTCAGCAAATCGTTATTGTGAGCGGGTGCGCCAGGCAGAGAGCCTGGGGAGTGTGCTTGTCTTACCTGTGTCCGCATGTTGTGTCCCCTCTGTGTGTCTCTGAGAATGCGTTCTTGGCACGTGTCCTGCGTTAACAAGGCGTTTGGTGTGTGCATGTCTGTGTGACAGTGCCTGGGTCCTGTTTGCTGCTGCTTGTTCGCATTCCAGCTTCCCTTGTGCCCGCAGTCAGGCTCTACACGTGCGCCAGCCTCCAAGCGCACGTCCCCGAGTGACCCGTGCGCGGTGTGCAGGGACCTCCGGGTCGTGTGCACTTCGTGCGCTCGTGCCCGTCTCACTGCACTAACGAACACACCTCCACATGTCTGGGTGCACGTCCCTCTCCATGTGTGCACGTTCCGTGTTCACGCCGCCCATGTCTGTGCAAGGGCGCTTCACGCGCGCGCGCTCCGGCCCGCGGACTGCCAGGGACCCGCGCTGGGCTCCACGCGTCCCGTGGGGCTGACCCCTCCCCCGCGCCCTGCAGAGGGCCGCGGCGATTGGCCGCCCGCCCCCTTCCAGCCGTCACCCCGCCCTCCCCCCCGCCACCCGCGTGCCCGCGGTCCCCGCTGTCCCCCGCGGTTCCGGCGAGGCCGCGCTGCGCTGCGCTCGGCTCCCATTGGCTGCGCGCGCCTTTGTGTGGCGGCAGCTGCGGCCCCAGCGCCTTTGAATGTCGAGAGGGGCCGGGAAGGGAGCCTTTCCATGGGCCATCTGTCTCCCCGCCAGCCGCCGCCCCACCGCCGCCCGCGCCCCGCGCTCCGCCTCCCGCCCCGGCGGCTCCCGCAGCCCCGCCGCCGCCCGCGCCCGCGCCCCGGAGCCGCGCCACAAAGGGCCCGCGCGCAGCCGCCGCCGCCGCCGCCGCCGCGCGAGGAGCCAGGATGGTCCTGGTCCACGTCGGCTATCTCGTGCTTCCAGTGTTTGGCTCTGTGCGAAACAGAGGTATCGCTTTTTCCTTTCGGGGTCTGCTTCGGAGCGTGGATCGCCGCAGGCACCGGGGCGGGGGCGGGCGCCGCGGGCGGCCGGGGGCTCAGGGCACACCCGCGAGGACGCAGGGCGAGCGGTGGCTTCCCCCCACCCCCTTTTGGGGGGACCCCCCCCGAGGGTGGGGGTGGCGGCCCTCGTGGGAGCTTTTGTAGTGAAGTTAGGGTTTGGCGAATTTGGGTCCCTTCCTCCCCAGCCCCATTTTTTATTCTTTGCGGTGGACGTGGTTCCCCCAAATCACAGCCCCTTCCCCTAATACCTAGCCCTGTATGATCGAAAGGAGAAAGATACATGACCGTGTGTGTGTGTGTGTGTGTGTGTGTGTGTGTGTGTGAGAGAGAGAGAGAGAGAGAGAGAGAGAGCGCGAGAGAGCGCGAGAGAGCATGCTTGGTTTTCTGTGGTTTGCTTTTTTTTGAGGTATATGTGTGTTTTATGTTATGTGTGTTTTGTATTTCTTCATTTTTTGGTCATTAGGTCCCAGGTTGGGACCTGGGTCTCTGCCCTATCCCATGCCCCAGCCCCCACCCTCTCGTGGGCACTTGCACGATTTTCCGTCCCATCCTTTTTTCCCCTTTAACCCTTTTTGTGCATCGCCTTGTGCTATTGCCCTGCTCACCCCGCCCCCTGCAACTGTCTTTGTATGACAGTTGCATTCACGGGTTCAAGATGCTTGGGCGTGTGTGTGTGTGTGTGTGTGTGTGTGTGTAGTGTGTGTGCATGTGTGCGAGTGTGTGTGCGCGCGCGCCTCGGAGAGTCAGACGTGAGCTGCTGTGCCCCCTGGGCTCGGCCGGAGCAGGGCGTCCGGCCCTTGGGTGTTGCGCTGTGTGTGAGGATGAGGTGGGAAGCTGCCCCCACGCCAGGCCTTTGCCCCGGGCAGCGGTTGACAAAGCAGCGGGCCGGCGCGGGCTTTGTTTTTAACTGTGATAAATGGGGTGTGTTTGCACGGTCCCTTTTCCCCACATCCCCTCTCCCTCACATTCTGCTACAACAATAGCTTGATTTTCCCCTCTTCTCCCCCGCTCCACTCCACATTTCTTTCATTTTCTTTTAATAAAAAATTCCCACCTCCCAAGCAAACCCGAGATGCATTTAGATTCATATTTTTTTTCTTTTTTGTATTCTGCCTCTGGACTCACATTTCTCGTCTTGGAAATGTTTCTTCTATCCTCTCCCACTCCACGTCTGCTTAAATCCCTGCTGGCTCAGGCCCTCCCCCCTCTCCCCACTCCCTCACACACAGAATGATGTCTTCCCTTGGCCGACCAGGGCTCCTCTACCAAGTCCGGGCGGGGGGTGGGGTCGCAGGGCCAGCGCTTTAGTGCGCCCCAGGGGCCCGATTGGGCAAGAAAAGGAAAGCCCAGCCCTATTTTATCCAGCCCAGCTGTCCCCAGCCCCGCGCCTCTCCCCAGAACCTAAAAGGCAAGCTTGGCCCCCTTAGGCCTGTTTGAACCGCAGTTTTTTTTGTGTGATGATAGAATGATGACATTCTGCATTTATCAAATCTTTTTTTTTTCTTCATTGTGTAGCTCAGTGAATGGTCAACTCGCTGCTGTGTGCGCTGTGACCCTTCTGCCTCCGCATTTAGCTGTATTGTGACACCCTCTTAACCATTTCCTGTCTCCATCTGAGGAAGGCATTGCTATTTAAGCGGCAGTATCCCCTATCTCAGGCCAGCCTAGCCATGGGGGTGAGGGGGCATGGGTGTGTGAGGAAGAAAGAGGGGGGCTGGATGCGATCTCCTTGAAATGCCACCCCCTCCCTCAATACACAATTATCTCTTATTACTTGGCATTTCCTCTTAAAACGGGTGTGGAACATTACACTAGGCAGAAATTCAAAAATGATTAAGAAGGATGTTGAGCCTGAAAGTATAATTATCCTGATTAAATCATTACCATCCTCATTAATACCACCAATGTCTAAATACCATTGCAGGGTGCTGATTCCATGTTTTGAAATTCAAATTGCTCAGCTGCCTTTAAATTTTATTTTTAATACTACCTTCTCCCTCACCCCCACCAAAGAAAAAAAAATCCAACAAAACAAATCCTGCCCATCAGTTGAAGTTTACTTTCATGGCAAACACGCCCACAGGAAATTCAAGGGCTGAGGGGTGAGTTGGTCTATGGGTAAAATTTAGCACAATGTGATAAGAGTTCATGACCTTCCGATAGAGGATACTAATGCTTAACTCAACAAGGTCCTAAACCACAATCTTCTTGTAAAACTATTAGAGAGTCTGCCAGCTTAAGTCTGTTCTTTTTAGTTTCCATTGTAGTAGTGTAGGATGCAGGCCATTTCAGAATAGATGTAGAGAAATAACCATTTTTGTATCTTCATCTTGTTTAGCCGATTACATTGCACTGTAAATCCCTGTTAAGTGGATTCCTTTTGCCTTGGCTTGGAGGCTGCAGCACCCCATTTTCCAGTTATCTGGGTGGCTATCAGTTAGCTTCTTGGCAGCACCCAGGCATAACTGAGGATTGCATTTAGTTGGAGGCAACAAATATTAAGCATATGCATTAAAAAAAAAATCTTTGATGAAATGACAGTTGCTGCTATCCCGAGCCTCTGAAAATTTGGTGCACCAAGGTCCCTGGCTTACCAGGGAGCCATGGCCATAGTGTCTTAATTGTTTAATTGTACAATGTCAAGAGCATCTTTGGACATCCGCCCTGGCCCTCAGATCTGCGCCTTTAACAGCTGGCTCCCTTCTGCTTCTCGCCAGCCAGACCTGCTTGAAAACTGAAACAAAACAGCAGCAATAATAAAAGAATAAGGCCCCCACTTTGAGGGCCCTTCCAAAATAAAGTCCCAAATAGCCTCCCCAGACTGCCATTTGGCAATCTGAAAAGAAAAAGAAAAAAGAAAAGACAAGAAAAAAGAATCCCAGCAAAATGGTTTTCCATTAAACAGGGGTAGCGTGTTCTGCTGTGCTGAATTACTTCCTGTTCTTATTTTGTGGGTAATTTTTTCTGTATCAAATATCCTTTTGGTTGTGTATCTTTTTCACCTTTTCTTGTACTAAAACTAAAGCATGATCTGTATTTTTTTACATCCCCCGGTTGACAATGTACAGCGCTCGGTTAGAGATGTTACCCTGCTGAAACGTACTGTGGTCGTGTAGCCTGGGCCATCTGCTCATTGTACGCTGCTTTTGTTCTGTTGCCCCTCCGAAGCATGGTGGGCCCAGCCTTTTTTTTTGTATCGTGTGCATGACGACATTGTTACACACAGAATCCACTAATACTAATATACAATCTCTCAATAAAGAACTAGTTTTCCTATATTAACCTAGTGTGCTTTTTCTCTTGCTGTTTTCCCATTTATTGTCGTATCCTGCTGTTTAGATTTTCCCCCTTGCTTTTCTATCCCCCCCCCCCCCCCCCCCCCCCCCCCCCCCCCCCCTTTTTAAATTTTTTGGGAATGTCTTTTTTTTTTTTTTTTTTTTTTTTTCCTTTTTTTTCTTTGTGGTACAGATATGGTGACTTTAATCTCATTTAGTCCATATCTTTTTACAATAGATGTCTGAGGCGATAGGAGGGGCCAGTTGTCCTGTTACACTGAAACAGTTCACCTGCCTAGAGAGAACCCCTGTCTTTGGCCACCTGTATACTCAATAGCCTCCACATTTCATCTTACTTTTCAAGATACATGGGCACTGGGTTTAAGATGCTGGTGAATAGAAGGGGCCGTAACACTTAGGTTGAGAAAAGGGATACTGTTCTTAACTAGCAATCTTGTAGCATTTCAGACTCGCCTAAAAACCCATTTTGAGTTGTGTTTCAACTTTTCTGTTTGCTGTCTCATTGATTTACTGTCCTTATAAATCATGCTGGGGATGACATGTTACATGTAGCTGAAGCCATGATCTGGAATTTGAAAGTACCCTCTTCTATGTGCATATTTAAATTTTTAGGACTTGCAATGTAAGTTTTGCATTGAGATCCTGGATAAGGAAGATGTTTGAAGCAGACACTGACTCAGACCACTCCCACCTCTATCCCAGGGCCAGCAGCGGACCTGTTACTGTAGGAATAAGAGGGTCTGTGCCCTCTGCAGGCTGTGAGCCAGTTAAAGCTGATTATAGCCTAGTTTCCTGACAGCTGCTTCTCTATGGCCCTAGGGGCCTCTCTTAAGAGAAAGACAGCTAAGATCTCAGCCATTGTCTAAGTGCGTGTGTTGAGGTGGGGAAGAGGGAGGGGGAGATCAGGAGCAAAGTCAGGACCTAACCCCAAATTGAGTTGGAAGAAGAACCCTTAAGATGTCTTTTTTTCCATAATTACATTGGAGAAGCCAGTGGAGAGGTATTTTTTTTTCCTCCGAGTGGACCCCAAATTCAGCCATTTGTCAATTCATTTTCAGCCCAGAACAAGCTTTGCTAAATGAGGCATTTTAGACACTAAAGAAATGAGTTGGTTAAAGAAATTCCTGGTTCTTTCAAAGGGTCATCATTTTGAAGCTGCTCCTCTTTTGGCCATTGTGCCTCGCCCTTGCTCCCCTGGGCTGACTGACTCCTGGGCTCACCCTCCTCCTTGCCAGGGCGGGCGCACCCCTGCCTGACCACAGCGCTTCCATGCCTTCTTTGTGGCTTCATGCAACTCCCCTCTCCCCCCATGGCTGCCCTCTCTGCTCTGGCCCTTTGTTCTCATGCTCTTCCCAGCCCGGGTGGGAAAGCTGAGCTGATTTACTGTGACACATGGACACACATGGATCTTCCCAGTGGAGGCTCTGCTGTAGTCTGCGCGAGAGAGACATAGGTCTACAGGGCTAGTCCTCTGAAGGTTTTGTTTGTTTCTTCTTCTTCTTTTTAAATTTTGGTTTACATGAGACTTAGAAAGCAAAATAAACCACTCCAATCCAGCCCCAACAATAATAAAACTACCCTGAATTGAGTGATCACTCTCATATTTGCCCTAGAGAACAGTGGCTCCTTAGATCAATCTTAACCAATTCCAAGATTTCATTTTTCTAAATTTTTGTTAAGTGTGTCAGAATTGTTTGACAATACATTTTGAGGATGGTTAGTAACCTAGTAATACTATAGCAAGCTATGGGTTAATGGGAAATCGTGTTTTAGCAATGTATCCAGTGCATTTAATGTTTGACCCAGATTGTCTGAACTAAACATATTAAGGAGACTTTCCAACCCTGACTGGACGATTCGGGAACTACAAAGCCATTGTTCTTTGTATTTATTTTCCCAACCACCTGACACATACCTGTTTTAGTACCTTGACTTCAGGATTTTGGGAAACCCATCAGTTCAGTGTATTCTATATCATAGACTTTGTAATAAGATGGAACACAGTTCTTCTTTCTGAACAAGAGAACTTCTCTCTTGAAACTAGCATCAGGAAGACCCACTAAGTTAATGAGTTTTCTTTAATAATAATTATCCATAAACCAGAAAATAATTAATCACTCAAATTTAGGGGAAAGGACCACCAGGGTGTGGAGGCCCTAATGTGCAGGTGACAGAGCCTTGGCTACCTGTCTTTTGTAGTTTTCTGACTCCTGCCCCACCCTGCCTTCCCATCTTTAAATAAGTATCCTGCAGTGGCACATTAGAAGATTTAATGGTTTTCTAGGCTAGGGAAGCTACAGTTCTGTGCTGGATCCAAGGGCAGCAGGGACCCCTTTTCTGAAGCAAAGGGCAAGAGACAACAGGTCTTTGACTCTGATTCAGGGTGTGACTTTGGTTGTCTCAATCCTGCTCCACAATTGTCAGACAAGTCTGCAAGACACTTGTGCCTTAATTTCTCCATGGATCTAAACAGCTTTGTAAAAATTCCCAGCTTAACATTGTATGAATGTGAATTAGTATTTATTAGTTTCCGGTATGGTTTAGCTACAGATGAACCAATATATTTCCAAGAGAATTGGGAGGAAGGGGAGGGCTTATCTTGGAAAGACTAAGATTTTCAGGATTATTTAAGAACCAAAAGCAAACACTTATAACCCCATAGCCAAACCACATGCAATGCCTGTACTTCATGTGTTCAGTCATTCATTCATTCACCCACTTACTTGTTTGTTCATTTAGTTAACGAGTGTTCATTGAATACTTCCTTGGGGCCAAACACTGCGCGAAGTGGGATACAGAAGAAACGGAGACTGGAGTGCCTCCCTACTGGGGCTTATGCTGAGGTTGAAGGATGAATGCTTAGGAAACCAGATGCTGTCTAAGATGTTCTGGGCCAAAACATCCACACGACCAGCAGAATCCCCTGACTGGCGAGATAAAAGAGCTTGGAGTAGTCCAGGGTTTGGGTCTTAGCCCAGTCTTGACCTAGCAGGGTGAGCGTAGGCCACTGTTCTGAGCATCCTCTGAACAATGACTGATGACTGCCATGTACCTGATAGGCTGTGTCTAAGCTATTAGAAGGTACCTGGCATGCAGCAGGTGCCTAGGATATGCCAGATGGCTGCCCCTTCCCTTCACAACTGTAGGTGTTTACTGGCCAGGGGATCAAATAATGTTAGAGGTGAGCTTGCTGCAGAGGCAGGTTTGCCATGTGCCTCAAAGGGTGCTGTGTATACAGGAGAGAGGAGGAGGAAGAGGAGAGAGCGCCCCAAGGGGAGGGAAGGAGTGATTTTGCTCAAGGCCAGTGCTGTGCTGATTTGGCAAGAACAGAAAGTGCATAGCAGGAGGGAGGAGTGTGTGTGTTGATGGGGGAGCATGAGTGCAGGCCTATAGGGAGCACTCAGATCATTGTCCTGTCTTTGAATGACTCTCCTCAGAGCACAACTCCGAGGGTTAAGCAGCACGAGGTCTGGAGAAAAGGCTTGAAGAGATTTTGAAGCCAGTTTCTGAAAGAGTTTGGACTTTCTCCTTTGGCCTTTGGGAGCTCTGAGGGGAGAGAGGTGTTTAAACAGTTTATTCTGCAGCTGATGGCAGAGGGATGAGGCTAGGGGCTGAAGTCAGGGAGGAGGTGGGGCAGGCTTGGGGGTGGGGAAGGGAAGAAGGCTCATATCAGGGGCTTTATTGTAAGGTGGAGTAAGCAGGATTGGGTCCACGTGGAAGAGGCTGAGGGGCAGGAGGTCTTTGGGGTGCTTGGGAGAATATAAGACCATGAAGACAAATAGGGAAGGTGGGAGGAACAGTCCATTGTGGGGAGAACTGAGTCTAGTGTACAGATCAACACATGAACTTCAGACACCAGGGTGGCAGATGCAAGGGGATTGTGGCAATGTCTAGGGGTTGAGACTTCTAGTCCTTTTCATACAGATTCCTGGTTGGGGTAGGAAATGAACTTCAACCATAAAAATTCCTCAAAATCATATGACTTGTCTCCCCAAAATTCTCCGTCCATGCCTGAAACCCCTATGGGTTATTCACACGTGTCTTTCCCAGCTTAGGTCACCCTCTGAGCAAGCTTTTTTATAATATGAACTCCTCCAGGAACTGTACCAATCTGCGTCCCAAAATCTCAGTTGCAACAAATTTTATCAAACTTTGCCTTTTTTTGAAAAGACAGACCCCAAGGTAGGCAAGTGCCAGGAGTTTTGCCTCCACTGCTTTGCAAAGGCCGTCCCCACACATGGGAGCAGGGGAGCTGGAGGGAGCCCACCTGGGAGCATATTGGGAGAGGAGAGGGCAGGAGTGGGGACTGAGGTCAAGGACAGGGGATCTGATCTCAAGATTGGGCCTGTCTGCAAAAAGGGGGTTTTTCCCAATTGAAAGTTCTCCCTTCCATTATCTCATTTCCTCCTTGGCACAGCCTGTGAGGAGTTAATCGGGAATCAGAGGAGGAAACTGAGGCCAAGAGTGGTGAAAGCCTTTGCCACCCTTCTCAACTAGCTAGTAAATGGCTAAGCCAGAAGGGGAGCCCCGGCAATTGGACACTCGGCTGTGGCCCTCTGCACTGCCCCCCGCCCAACGCATGGCCTGCATGCGGCAAGGACCCTCGTCAAGACTAAGGCAATAATTAGAAAGGAATTCCTGCTTTCCCGCCATAGCCGGTGGGACCAATTCTGAATGCTGGACTCTTTGTCCACAGTGGAAGAGGCTCTTTCCAGGTAATGGCCTGCCAAACTTCGATGGGGTCTAAGCCCCCAACCCTGAGCCCTGCACTTCCCAGAAGGGGCCTTTGAGAGACAGGGAGGGTGCATGGTGGACCAGAAACTCCCCAGAGTAGGAAATGAGCAGGGCATTGGAACCCAGGGTGGTGAGTCCTTTCACCTTCAGATGCCGGCTCAGAGTAGGCGTGGCCGGCTCGCTGGGTGAACTCCAGGGAGGTGGAGTCTGTGCCCGGATTTCCACAGAAATAATAGGTATCCCCTTCCTGAGGCTTTGAATCTCAAGGCGAGGACACGTTTTGCATTTTTTCTTAGATCATCTCGAAGCCTTAATAAATTATATCTATGTTGTTTCATGGAGATGATAGAATCACATTCTGGAAAGTTTAGAAAATAAACCAAAGGAAAAAACTCGTAGGAGCCCGTCCCTTTGCGATCATGTCAGTGAAATTCCTTCATAGTTTTGTTCATATATTTGCTTGGATTTTTAGTGTGGAGCTGTAAACATAATATATGTCTACTTTTTACGGTCTCTATTTCCTATTTCACATTAATGTCTCAGACATGTTCACATTCTGCTACGTTGTTTTCACAAGCACGGCTTTTAATGGCTACCTAATGTTCCACTTGAAAAGTGGCTCAACAGTCAAGTTTGCCAGCTTCCCATACACCCAAATTGCCTTATGCTCAAGGCCACTTGGTGCTGCTCTAACACACTTCCCTCAGGCTGCCATCTGGCCAAGTGGGGAGGAGGTGGTGAGTGAATCAGGTGTGACAACACTTCCTCCCCTCTGCCCCCCAGCAGCCCCTTCTATCGAGAGGCCCAGATAAGTGGAGGGCTGGTAGATAAGAGAGAGCTGGGGAAAGAAATGTGATTTGGGTAAACTTTTCTGAGATCTAGATTCTGATCCATAAACTTCCACTGTGATCTTGAACAGCTCAGTTTCCTTCCCTCAGTTCTCAGCTTCCCCATCAGTCAAATGGGTACGTCTATGGCTTGTGCCTTACTGGACTTGTCACATGAAGGAATGCATAAGAAACAAGTCGAGAAGCCAGCCAAAGGTGACAGTGATCATCCCCGGCATTCTTCATAGTGCTGGTGCTCACACAGGCCATGTGGGACAGTGAACACAGTCCTGGCTTCATGGCCTCTCTGCCAGTAACTACCCCTGTGAGGTCTTGGCCAAGCCTGACCGCTCTGTGACTTCACTGCCTACCTGCCAAGGTACAGAATGGGCTGGATTGCCCCTTCCTGCTCTAAAATACTGTGCTTTCCTCGTGATGAGAAGAGCATCTATTCCTATCACCTTTTTTGCTTTTTCTTCGGGACAGTAGCCACATGCCCTTTAGGACTCAGTAGGCACGTGACCTTCCACTGGCCAGGTCACACTGCACAGTGGGTGGGAGGGAAGCAGTAATTGCCCCTGCCTGGCTAGTGGCCCATCCAGGGAAAAGGCTCAGCCTGGAAGCACAGACACAGGGCTCCTGGACCCCGGGCTCAGGGCTGGCGTTAAGTCTGATGCCTCTGCTCTCACTGGGCCGCTGAGCAGGACGTTCCCCCCGGACGCTGCTGCTTCCTCCTGCTGTCCTTTCCTTGAAACATGCCCCTGGGTGTGCCATTGTGCACAGTGGACCCCTTCAGGAAGTCCTCCCTGCCAGCGAGGGAGGGGGCCAGTCACCCATGCTGGCCTCCCCCGACGACGCTGTATCCCTCAGATCTAAGTGTTGGCCTCACCGCACCTAGGAAAGGAAGTGGTGGCTGCTGACTCAGCACCAGCCTGCAGGTGGAGAGGGGGTGGTGGAGCTCTCTGAGGCTGGGAGGAAGTGAGAATTCAGCGGACACCTGTCTCAAGGAAGGGCAGGAAGCGTTGGAACAGCTGCTGTGCCCCCTCTGAAGCTGAGTGGGAGGGAAGGGGTGGAGGCGCTCTCCATGTCTTCCCTCCTCTGCCCCCACCCCCAGCCAGCTTGCTTAGCTCCAGGCTTCTTCCCCCATGCCACCCCCTCCTCAAAAGCTCAGGGGCCCCCTCCTGGCTGCCTGTGCCTCAGGACCACCCACCTCCTAGAACACCTGCTTCTACTCCTCAAATTCCCTGGAGCTAATGGGAGAATGTGCTCACTCCCGCCCCCAGCGTGGAGACACTGGCCTCCCTTAAGCCGAAGGATGGCCCTTTCGAAGGATGACCTCAGCCTCCACGGTGTGCTTATTCTCTGGAGTGGGCAGGCATGGACTCAGGGGAACGGACTATCCCTGCCTCCTCTACCCATGACATTTGAGACTGCTGAGCAGACCTGAAAAGTCAGATTCTGGGGAAGGTGAGGGAGTGACAGTGGGGGACTTGGGCCCAAAGAACAGGTCCCCACATGGCCCAGAGGTGTGTGTGCCCCCAGCTCAGTGCTGAGAAGGGAGACAGTGGAGGTAGCTGGACCAGAGCCTTGGCTTGGTTCTGTCAGCACCCTCCACAGCGCCTCATCTTGGACACCAGGGTGATGAGCTGTGGTGTAGGCCTCCCCTCTGTGGGCTCATGGGGTGGAGGGGGAAGTCAGACCTGTCTTCCCCCCTAAGGGCTGGGTCGGGAGGGAAGCTGAGCTTGGGAGGCAGCTCCTGCCTCACTCCTGGCCAAACTGGGGAGGGCTGCCTGGGATGCAGGGCTGCCTGGGATACAGGGGTGCCTGGGATGCAGGGCTGCTTGGGATACAGGGGTGCCTGGGATACAGGGGTGCCTGGGATGCAGGGGTGCCAGGGATGCAGGGCTGCCTGGGATGCAGGGGTGCAGGGCTGCCTGGGATGCAGGGCTGCCTGGGATGCAGAGCTTCCTGGGATTCAGGGCTGCCAGGGATGCAGGGGTTCCCTGGATGCAGGGGTGCCCGGGATACAGGGCTGCCTGGGATACAGGGCTGCCAGGGATGCAGGGGTGCCAGGGATGCAGGGTTATCTGGGATGCAGGGGTGTCTGTGATGCAGGGCTGCTGACTGCCACCCTGCTGACAGAGCCAGAGGGATAGGGAATCAAGGCACAACTGGAAGAAAGGTCGGGCCCACTGGAATCAGAAGAGTTCAGCCCTCTCCCTGCCAGGAGGAAACGGACCAAGGGAGGCGGTGAGGGAAGAGAGGTCATCTGAGGTGAGGGGGTAGCAGCCAGCCCCCAGCTTGGTCTCCCTCCTTGGAGAGGTGCAGTGGGAGCGTGATTGAGAAGGTGGGAGAGGAGCCCAGATGCTAAGATGAGACGGCACAGTCCCATCCTGAAGGTCCCTGACAAGTCTCAGTGTCCCCCAGCAGAGAGATGGCAGGAAGGAGGAGGGAGGCAGCAGGTTCCCACCTTCTCAGCTGGCTTCTCTCAGCCATCTCCCGGGTATTCCGTGAGTCAGGGCCATCCCTGCACAGGTGCACTTGGGGAGGATCTGGCCAGGGGGCGGACTAGATGTGTGCGTGGCAGAGAGCAGAACCTTGACTCTGAGAGCAAAACAAGGCCTGGCCTGCTGCAGGATGGACACTGTTTCTAGTGTTACCTCTCAATTTGAGGAAAACGTGAGGTTCATATTAAATTAACCTGGCAACTCTTTTACCTCCAGTTGCAAATTTTACATAAACCTTTAAATGAAAATATAGAACTTTGATGACATTTCATTCAGACAGGGCAGTCCAGGCCATGCACTGACTCATGGGGCCGCTGTACACTCCTCTGGCATTTGGGTCCTTCTAGGGGTGAGTGATGGTAATACTTCGGGGTCACCCCAAGGCCTCCTCTTCCCAGAACTTGGGGACTCAAGCTGTTCAGTGGCTGGAGAGGCAGAGCTGGTTCTTGGAGCCACAGTCAGGATTAGAATTCAGGTTTCTTGACTCTGAGGGCTGGTGGGCATTTTGGGTTTTGACTCAATGCCATTTGTAAGTGGCACAAGCTATGGCAGCTATGGGGTGCTTTGTGGGAGACATGGCTGGGTGTGGCTTGAGGACAGCTTGGGTTTAACTGGGCAGAGAGAAGAGGGATGGCATTCCAACATGGTGGCAGATCCTCACATGTGCCAGGGCTGGGAACCAGAGCCTGAGCGAGGAGGTCAGGAGATGGAGAGAACCCCAGCAATGGGTGGGAAGGAGATCATCTGAGGGGGTACAGGACACTTTTTATCGTGGTAAAACATACAACCTAAATTCTGCTGTTTCAATCATTTAGAAGCGTACTACGATTCGGTGGCATTTCGTACATTCATGGTGCTGTGTGACCACCACTACTTTCTATTTCCAAAAGTTTGAAATCGCCCGAAACAGAAACTAAGGGCTCCCTTGGCTTTGGGGCCTCCTCCCAGGCAGGTCAAAGGCTGCGTTTGCTGGGTCTTTGCGAGGAAAGGTTCAGGGCTGTGGAGATGGGAAACTAGGCTGTAGCAAAGAATGTACAGATGTTGCCATCGGGCAGTCTTAAGCCTGACCACCTGCCAGCTACGGGACTTTGGCCCTCTCTGAGCCTCAGTCTCTTCTAAAACAATGGGGATAATTGATGTCAATACCAGTGTCACAGAGAGGTAAGGATGAAAGACAGTTCTGATGCATATAAAGTACAAGGCACCCCAAATTCTAGGAAGTGTTTAGCAAGATGGCCATTGCCCACCTCCCACCCACACACCCCACTTCCTCCATGCACACACACATCTCTGCTTGTTCAGGCCTGGGACAGTCTTAAGGGAGTGCAAAGCAGGCCCTGGGCAGTCAGCAAAGGGCTGGGTATGCTTCAGCTTAATTGTGAAAAGCAGTTACTGAGAATCTGCTTTGCTAAAGCCAGCCTCTGACCTGTAGTCTAGCTGCAGAGACCCCCGAACACTCCTGATGTGGGTGGAGAATGATAGACTGGGCAACAAGACTGGCCAAACAGTGGTCATGTTGGCCAGAAAGTGTGGCCTAGCAGGGAGATATCTTAGCACACGGGATGGGGAGAGGTCACTGAGGCCTGGAGAAAATCAGGAGGGCCTCCCAGAGGAGGCAGGACTGGAGCTGTTCCCCGAGGAGGGAGAGCAGTAGGCCTGCTGCCTTGGGGAGTGATCAGGTCAGCCCTGCCCCCTGCCCCTCTCCCATGTAGGCCCAGATCTGATCCAAGAGGTGAATGTCAGAGTCCTGTGGCTGTCACACTCGTCTGAATTTTCTTTTTCTTTTCTGGAGCATTGGGCCCTCTCATTTCATTGTCATCCGTCCCATTCCAGTCCCTGTCTTCCCTGCCATCCCCTGGCCCTGGCCATCCTGCTGTAATTCTCTGCCTCCTCTCCTGCCCCTCTGCCCAGCTGAGCTGCCTGAGTGCTCCAATGGGTCACCGTGCCACCCCTTGAAAGAAAGCCACGTGGAGGGGTTGCTGCTCGAGGGAGCTGGGGCTTTGTGTCCTCCCTCTGAAGTGGGCAACCCTTTTGGGGCACTGGTTCTGCTCTTTGCAGAATGGGGTACTCATTTTTACCTGCCAGGTTGAGTGACGATTAAATGAGAAGGCGACGGCTCCCGGCCCAGAGCAGGGGCTGCTCTTATTGCTCGATGTGGCTACCTGCTAGGGAGTTGCCATGCACAGAGTCCCCGTGCCTGCTCCTAGGAGGCATACTGTATTTGGCAAGGGAAATAAAGGGCAGGGGGGAAACTGAGCCTCAGTGTTCTTACCTGTAAAATGGGAACAATCATAGAAAGTTCCCCCGCAGGGTGATAGTGAGGCTCAGAAATGATCATGGATTTGTTCAGCTCATCTAACACATACACATTGAGCAGCTGTGCTGGACCAGGCCCCGGGCAGACATGGGGGACACAAGGATAATAATAATAACCATAAGAGCAGTAGCAGATGCTCATGTAGCACTTGCTCTGTGCCAGGCACCCTCCTAAGCACTTTGCCTGCCCTAAAAATACTGAGCCTCGTGGGAAACAGACAGACGCAGGAACAGCATGGCCCTAAGGTATGTGCTGGGTGTTCTCTTAGCCTGTGGGGTACATCCCGGGGAGGGCAATGCCTGGGGGCTGAGGCCTGGGGGAGTCGTAAAGGATCTGGCTGCCCAGGAAGAGGTGGGGTGAGGATGTTGTGGGCCAGGGGACTGCAGGGGTGGGGAGAGGGGAAGGGTAGGCTGAGAAGGAGTGTCATGCAGAGGAGTCACAGGGACAGGGAACTGTGGGGCTAATAGCCTGCAGGGAAGCTGGGGCTTTGTCAGCCCTCCTGGTCAACATGGCAGCTTTGCCTATTGGCTAGCATTGCTGGTGGCTGAATATCTTTTGTCAAGAATAAAGTGCACACAGTCTATTCAGAGTCTCTGTATGTCCTGAGCTAAGGGCTGAGGGTACGACCTGGGCACTGCCCTTGAAGACCTAGAAAGTGAGGCAGGAGTTTCAACAAACTCTGGAAGCAATCTTTGGACAGTTACCTCCACAGGAAGAGGGTTACCATGGGCTACTGTGCAGAGGGTGGGAGACCTCCTGGAAGACACAGGGGTGGGACTGACCCTTGAGTCAGTCTTGAGGGGCTTGGGGCAGCACTGTCCACACTGTCCAAGCAAGTCCTGGGGCCTCTTGAGCTGTTTCTGCAGAAAGGTTACATGTGCCAACATTTGGAAATACTACCCACTACACCCCGGTCGTGGACAGTCCCAGCGCAGATTAGCACATGAAAGGCCCTGATAATCCTGCAACCAAGAGAGCGCTTTGGTTTTGCTTTAGTACCATTTCCCAAAACTGACCACAGAACGTGTGTGTGTGTGTGTGTGTGTGTGTGTCTGTGTGTGTCTGTGTGTGATTTCTGGAAGCAGACCTTGAACTTGGTTGCATGGAGCACAGTTTGGGAATGTTAGCCTGGGAACTGGGTCACCTAGCTCAAGACTGGCCAGAAGCAACTCCCTTACACTACAGAGGCTGGGAGACTAAGACAAGGGCCATAAAAGAGAGCTCGTGCATTGGCAAC